TGGCACACATCTCTTGAATACAATTGGGTCTGATTAAGATACAAAGGTGGCCCTCCTCTCCAAGAATCTTCTGTTATGAATCCTTTTGCTTTTCTTTGCAAATTTGTCTCAATCATCCCCACCCCAGGATTCCTTAAAATTTTTAAAATTAAATCTATATCCTATCTATATCAATGTCTATGTCTCTATATATCCCCATATCTGTGTGTGTACATGACACTTATTTGCAGAAGCCAGAATAGAGAATGGGTTCCCATAGACCCAGATTTACCAACAGTTGTGAGCTTGCCTGATGTAGGTGCTAGGAACCCACATTGAGTCCTCCAGAAAAGTAGTAACTAAGCCATCTTTTTAGTTTCATCCTATAGAATTTTATTCTTTTTGAAAATCACATTGAGTATTTGTTGAAGTTACTATTTTGTTTTCTTCTTGGACCTTGTTAGCCCTTAAACTTGAACTTTGGTAAATGAGTAACAGTCACCTGTAATACTGTACATGCCTGGTGCCACAAGAAATGTATATATGTTTCATCCAATTGTATGCCAGCCATAAGAGTCTTGGCTCAGTATAGATCCTGCTTCACGTGGGTGAGAGTGTTCTACAAAGAAGAGGAGTTGTACTGGTAAATCTTGCAGATGCAGGCACACGTGAGCATGTTATTACTCTTAAACACATGATGCAGTGTTACATTCATAGAAGAGCCACTCATGAGTGTAAAGTATGTATGTTTATGTGTGTGTGTATGTCAAAGGACAATCTCCTGTCATTTTCAGACATTACCTACCTTACTACTAGTACTACTACTACTACTATTTATTATTATTATTATTGTTGTAACTCTCAGTAGTAGTAGTAGTAGTAACAGCAAGAACAATAACAACAATATTAATAATTGGAGACAGCTTTCACAATGACCTAAAACTTCTGAAACTCACAAATTTAGCTTGTCAGTGAGCTTCAGCCTGAGTGTTCTACTTGTCTCCTACTTCCTAAAACTAGGATAAAATCTATGTAGCATTATGTTCTGCATGTTAATATGGATGGTTTGGGTTTGAACGCAAGTTTTATGTTTGCAAGGCAAATTATGACTGTATTGAATGAGCTAGCTTACCAGCTCCGAGTTTTCTGTGTTTACTTATTACAATGTTTTACTCACTTAGTAGACCTGTCCATAAAACAATTTTGAATCTTGGCTTACAGGGCTGCCAAGTGTATCATAACTAAGACTACAGCTTATTTTTCCTGCTATCTCCTCCTTCATTTGTGGAAAAGTTTTTGCTGTTCGTAGACTTCTGTGTTATGTGTGGGGAGACACGATCCTGAAAATTAATTATAAGATTTATTTTAGTGTTAAAAAGAGTCAAGAGCTGGAGGAATAGATAAGTTTTTAAAGCTTATTACAGAAGTATGGAGTCTTCTGTTAGAATGCTCAGCATCATGAAAGAGCCAGACCTGGCTGCCCCAGAGATGAGAGAGTCTGCAACTAGGCTCAAGTGACACTAAGTGACTTTGCCCCCAAGTTATTTCAGATTGGTAAGTAATGATGCTGACAGCCAATATCTGGGCAGAAGAAACATATGTTGAGTTTGGGATTCCTGGACTCGGGGTCAAAGGAAAACAACCGGGGGCAGAAAAGAGTGGAGAAAGGAAAAATCCACCATGGGTTAGATGAGTCATATGGCCATATGGATTGGCTAAATGGAGTTAAGAGCAGCCCAGACAAAGCATCACAAATTATATAATGTGATTATTAGCTGGGAAATAGACATAATAGCATAGAGGATAGATAATTGCCCAGTTCTGCTGATTAAGGCTTATTGTAAATATAAAGGTGTGCGAATATTTTACCTGGTAAATAGAGAGAAAAAGGTTGGTAAAAGCCCTGGACAAACATTAAATATTTCTACAACAAGACCTGGATGTTAACAATTACAGCACTGGGAAGGCAAATAAAAGTTATACTTCGTTGTCCATTGTCCAGTGTAGTTAAATCATTTACTCCCAGTGTTTGAGTTTGCTTTCTGGTTCTATGATAAAACACTGATCAAAAGCAGCTTAGATGAAGAAACGTTTTCTATGGCTTACACTTGCAAATCACTTCCATCTCTGAGAGAATTCAGGGCAGGAACTCAAGCAGGAACCTGGAGGCTGAAAACATAGAACACCGCACTTTGCTGGCTTAATCACCGGCTTCTACTTTGCTAGCTTCCTTATAAAACACAATATCTTCTGTCAAGGGAAGGGAGTTTTCTATTGTAAATCTGGTCCTCCAAATCAATTAATAATCAGGATCACCCCTACAGGCTTAGCTAAGGAATCGCTCAATTGATGAGAGCCTAGATGGATCTAGGCTATGTTAGATTGAAATTCAGTAGGACATCAGGGAGATAACCTACCTCAAAAACAATAAAGAGTGCAATACAGATAGACAGTAGGCGCTAGACTCTGACTTTCACACATATATGCACAAGAACCCGAAGCATATATGCACATGGATACAAGCACTCACCTGGCTATATATGTGCATCGTAGACATATGAAATGAAACAATAAAATAAAATAAGCCAATTTATGCTTAAAACCTATTATGGGTGAAAGTAATGGATGTCATACCTAACTATTTCAGCCGCCCTTGTACAGATGGAGCCTATTTTGGACTGCCTGTTATTAACTTCTCTGAAAAATATTCACTGTGTTCCATTTCCAAGGTGCGACATCCACCAATTTTCATTTCCATTTTTGAGCTGGAAAAGAAAAATAGGTAGAAATGGAGAGAGTTCTAACTTTCTCATGAGTTTTTCTGTTTCAGAATTGGAATCTACCCAGCCTGCATTCAACCTGGCTATCAGCAAGGTGGCATAAAAGGTTAAGAGAGAGATTTTCCAAGCTAGTAAGACAGAGTTTCTTTGTTTTATTTAAAGTTTGATTATAGTTCTATATACAAGTAGTTTGTACATGCTTACAATTTTCAATCACGCTTAAAATATGCAGCATAAATCTGAAGTCAGACAAATGGAGTTAAAGTATCTAGTTACACTCTTAACACTGGTGCTAAGCCTGGTTTATTCCCTGACACATGGGTATCAAAATAGCATTCCTAGGAATTTGGGAATAGATCAGTGGGTAAAGGTACTTGCTCTCAGGCTGAATAACCTAAGTGCAATCCACATGATCTACATGATGGAAGGATAGAATAAATTCCCACAGCTATTCTCCTGTGGGTCTGTGTCTCGTGCATAGGAGTGGGTCCTGGTGGGCTGAGTTGTTGGTTCCTTGTGTCTGCCGCCCCAGGAGGCTGGAACTGTGGGTCAGAAATTCGACTGAGTTCACTCCACATGGAGCCATGCAGAAGCCACAGAGCTCCACTCAGGGCAGTGTGGGGAGATCGCAGTCTAAGGTCTCACAGGGTCAGAGCTCTTGAGTTGGGAACCCCCAGGGAAGAAGGCAACTGGGATTCAGCTTATCTCACGCTCTTGGGCTCCCAGACACAACTGAGAGACCATGGAAGAGTTGCAACTGGGGAGTGGGGCTGAAGGGGCTGAGGGGGGTGCGGGGGGGCGTATAGGCTAGAGCAATCCGCAGCCGAAAAGGGTGGAGGGGGAGAAGATGAGCTCCAGTGTCCTGCGGGGGAAATGAGACTCTTGGTCACCACTACTTGCTTGGCTGGGTCATGCCTGGGTATGGCGGGAGATTAGACTGCGGCTGTAGATAATGCCCGAAGACAATCCCCCGTATCCTACAGGTTTTAAGATCAGAAAAATTTCTGCCTTCTGTCTCCTAGTTTCTGAAGCAATATATTTAGTCCCATGCAGTAAGAGACTGTGTAGTGGGAACCAGAATCCAGAGTGTCCCTGAGCTACTAAGTTGGGTCTGAGTGAATGTTCAGTGGAGACCAGAAATAGAAAGTCCCTGAGTAAATTCTCTTCCATTTGGTGGGAGGTAAATGAGAGCATCAGGAGAATGTGCATGCAAATTTAAGGAAATGGTAAATTTATTTCTCTATATTTAGTAGCACTTTTCCATCCAATTCTCAGTAAAGGGGCTAGCAAGATGGTTGATTTTTGCCATACACTTGTCCATCTCATAAGACACTGCAATATCCCTCACCCTAGGTTCCAGAGTACTTGAGCATTAAGCAGTCATTAAAAGTTTATACTGATTTACTTTTTCTTACTTAAGCTGGAGGCAAAAATCTTAAGGCATGGGTTTTCCAATTCCAAGAAAATAAATATTGATTGTTTACAAACTTCTAATTTCATGATTATTCTAGGAACCAAGCAGCTGTTGCAAAGCCCTTATAAGTAGAATGGGTTATACATGAAATGTGCCAGACTTCCGACTTCCTCATGTACTGGAGCTGCATATATATCATTTCCTCTTCTGTTCCTTGCACACGGGTGATTACTGAACTTTCTGCTTCCCACTTTTCCAGGCTTGGTTACTGTGGCCTGAAGTTTCAGCATTACTGTCTGTCTTCAAAAAGCCTTTCTAAGCACCTGCTAGGGCAATTTGTCTCCTGTGTCAGCATTGAAACTTCTGTCTTTCTCTTGTGAAGGTTCCTCACAGGCTTTCTATGAACCTTCCTTTTCCGTTTACCAAGCATTATCTTGGAGATATTATATTCATGGAGAATAAATACAAAAGTAATAAATGGGGCCCATGGAATTCTTAATGAATGCCTTCTTTAAACCCTGTATCCACACTGAGATATGAGTCCCCTAATAGGTTCGTAGTACAGATTTAGACAGAGAAAGGAAAAATGGAGCTAAAGAGAGAAGAATGGTAGCAGGAAAGAAGGAGGAAGGAAGTTGGAACCATGAACACTGCCCTTTTCATGGATCTGGTGCCTTGGGATATAAGCTAGAAAATTGGATCTGAAAGTACTAAAAGTTTAAATTTGGAGACAGAAACTGTGACATAATTGAACATAGGTTCATTGATCATAAGAAATGGTGACTTTCTTAGACATTATTACAAGTCTCTCTTTCATCATATTCCAGGAACTGGTGGTTGGTCTCCAACAGATTCCAGTGCCCATCAGTGGCTGCAGTTGGACCTGGGAAGCAGAGTAGAGATTACAGCAGTGGCCACACAGGGAAGATATGGGAGCTCTGACTGGGTGACAAGTTATCGCCTGATGTTCAGCGACACAGGGCACAACTGGCAACGGTACACGCAGGAAAACAACATCTGGGTAGGAAATACTTTCCTCTTCCAGTGAATAAAGATGAGATGTGCTAATGCTAAGCAGAGTGTGTCTCTGCTATATTACTGTAACCAGACTATGAGGCCTAAATACTGTACTGTATCTATTCAGTAATAATGGGATCACATCTAGGCCCTGGTTCAAGTGTAGCTCTGTTTCAAGGGAAATTGGACTACCCGCTCTAGAGAGGTTGGTGTGTTACTCCCTTTCTTGAAATTTCAGTGGTTTTAAACACAGAATATGTTATATCATCTATAAAAATAGAAAAACATGATAACAAAAATATGATTGTCAGTAAGGTTGTATCATTGGCTATCTTACTTTCTTATGTTCATTGTACAGTGGTAAAAAAGCCAAATAAGTGAGAAATGGCTCATTTTGGCTTAAGGTTCAAGTTTACATTCCATCTTGGCAGGGAATTCTCTGTTGTAGATTAATGTAGCTGGTCACATGGCATTCATAATCAGAAGGAACAATGAATGTTATGCCTGTGCTCAATTCTCTTATTTAGTCCAGGATGGTAGCCAGGGAATGCTGCCACCCACAGTGGGCAAATGCTCCCATTTAAATTAGCACAGTCAAGACATGCTCAGAGGCTCATCTCTCAGCTGATTCTAGATTTTGTCAAATTGACATTCATCATCATATTGGCTGAGGATATATCTGCATATATATCAGACACCTTTTCATAACTTGCCTAAATAACTCAACTATGTCACTTGTCCAACATTGCTATGTGTAGGATTATACCTGAGGAATCTGTACTCTATTCTGAGTGTGTTGTGTAGCCAACCACCATCCAAAGTTCTAAAAGCATTCAAATATATATGACAATGTTTAGATTTATCCTGCTCCTTCCTGGAACTATGAGTAATTATCAGTTTGGAGGTAATACAGATGTTCTAAGTCATAAAACAGATCTTTCTTCCCTGCTGCAGCTCCACGTTTGTGAACCTTGTGTAAGTAAAAGTTGTCAGGAATTTGGAGCTTGGGAAAAAGGCTCATCAGGCAAAGTACTTACTTTCAAAGGACAAGGACTGGAATTCAGATCCCTGGAACCAATCAAAAAGCTAGGTAGATGTAATGACATCCTTAAAGTTTCCTAAAGCAAACTGGCTAGCAAAACTAGACAGAAAGACAATAGATACTGCCTAAATGGATAATGAGTGATAGAGGAAAAAGATCCCTGAAGCCAGTCACAGGCATCCATGCACAAGGACACACCTGTGTGAACTTGTATGCATACAGGAACATATATACATATATTAAAAAAAAGAAAAGAAGAGGAGAGGAGAGGAGAGGAAGGAAGAAAAAAGAAAGAAAGAGAGAAAGAAAGAAAGAAAGAAAGAAAGAAAGAAAGAAAGAAAGAAAGGAAGAAGGGGGTTAATGCGTTAATGCTTTGGAAAAAATAACATGTAAACAATGCTCCTTTTTAGTTTAGGAGGAAAACAAGACCACAAATTTCTTCTAAAGGAACACTATACATACATACATATATATATATATGATGGTGATGATGGATAGCAGTCTTTTCCCTCTCAGAACCTCTTTGGCGGCAGCCTTGATTTCACCTACTACATCTTTCAGTATTAACCCAACCTTGTTGAAGAGAATGTGCTTTAGCTGCAGTGATATTTGCTGAAGATTTTTTTTTATTGGATGTTTTATTTGCATTTCATATGTTGTCCCCTTACCCCATCCCCCACCCACCCAGGAACCCCCTACCCCCTCACCCCTCCTGCTTCTTCTCTGTGGATGTAACCCCTACCTACCCCCCCCACTTTCACCTCCCCACCCTCAAATTTCCTCCCCCTGGGGCATCCAGCCTTCATGAGGTCAAGGATCTCTACTTCCACCTATGCCCAGCAGGACCCTCCACACTTTCGCATTCAGCTGAAGCCCTGGATCCCTCCCTAAGTGCCCCCAGGCTGGTGGTTTAGACCCTGGAAGCTGTGGTTGGTTGGGATTGTTGCTTTCCTCATGGGGCCACAAACCCTTTCAGCTCCAATGGCCTTCACTCTAACTCCTCCATTGGGAACCCCATTATCAGTTCAATGGCTAGTTGTGAGCATCTCCCTCTGAATATGTCAGACCCTTGAAGACCTCTGAGGAGACATCCATATCAGGCTCTTATCAGCTGCACTTCCTGACTTCCAATCAGCATCTACCTTTGGTGACTGCACATGGGATGGATACTCAGGTGGAATGGTCTTCAGACAGCCCCTCCTTAAGTTTCTGTCCCTCACTTTGTCTCCATATTTGCTCCCTTGAGTATTTTGTTGCTCCTTCTAAGAAGGACCGAATCACCCCCATTTGGTCTTCCTTCTTCATGAGCTTCATGTGGCCTGTGAGTTGCACCTTGGGCATTTCAAGGTTCTGGGCTAATATCCAATAATCAGTGAGTGAATATCATATGTATTCTTTTGTGATTGGCTTATTTCACTCAAGATGATAATTTCCAGTTCCATGCATTTACCTAGAAAACTCTTGAATCCATTGCTTTTAATAGCTGAGTAATACTCCATTGTGTAAATATACCACATTTTTTTGAATCCATTCCTCACTTGAAGGACATCCTGGGTCTTTCCAGCTCCTGGCTATGATAAATAAGGCTGCTATGAACATAGTTGAGCATATGTCCTTGTTATATGTTTGAGCATCTTCTGAGTATATGCCTAGGAGTAGTATAGCTGGATCCTCAGGTAATGCTATGTCCAATTTTCTGAGGAACCGCCAGACTGATTTCCAAAGTGGTTGCACAATCTTACAGTCCCACCAACAATGGAGGAGTGTTCCTCTTTCTCCACACCCTCGCCAGCATCTACTATCACCTGAGTTTTTAATCTTAGCCATTCTGACTGATGTGAGATGGAATCTCAGGGTTGTTTTGATTTGCATTTCCCTGACGACTAAGGATACTGAACATTTCTTTAGGTGCTTCTTGGCCACTCGAGTTTCCTCCATTGAAAATTCTTTGTTAAGCTCTGTACCTCATCTTTTAATAGGGTTATTTGGTTGTCTGGAGTCTAATTTCTTGAGTTCTTTGTATATATTGGATATTAGCCCTCTATCAGATGTAGGATTGGTAAAGATCTTTTCCCAATTTGTTGGTTATCATTTTGTCCTTTTGACAGTGTGTCCTTTGCCTTACAGAAACTTTGCAATTTTAAGAAGTCCCATTTGTCAATTCTTGATCTTAGAGCATATGCCATTGGTGTTCTGTTCAGGAACTTTTCTCCTGTGCCCAAGTATTCAAGGCTCTTCCCCATCTTCTCTTCTATTAGTTTCAGTGTATCTGGTTTTATGTGGAGGTCCTTTATCCTCTTAGACTTGAGCTTTTTACAAGGAGACAAGAATGGATCAATTTTCATTCTTCCACATGTTGTCCTCCAGTTGAACCAGCACCATTTGTTGAAAATGCTGTCCTTTTTCCACTGGACAGTTTTAGCTCCTTTGTCAAAGGTCAAGTGACCATAGGTGTGTGGGTTCATTTCTGGGTCTTCAATTCTATTCCATTGATCTTCCTGCCTGTCTTTGTACCAATACCAAGTAGTTTTTATCACTATTTCTCTGTAGTACAGCTTGAGGTCAGGGATGGTGATTCCTCCAGAAGTTCTTTTATTGTTGAGAATAGTTTTTGCTATCCTCAGCTTTTTGTTATTCCAAAAGAACTGGAGAATTTCCTTTTCTAACTCTGTGAAGAATTGAGTTGGGATTTTAATGGGAATTGCATTGAATCTGTAGACTGCTTTTGGCAAGATGGCCATTTTTATTATATTGATCCTGCCAATCCATGAGCATGGGAGATTTTTCCATCTTCTGAGATCTTCTTTGATTTCTTTCTTCAGGGACTTGATGTTCTTGTCATAAAGGTCTTTCACTTGATTGGTTAGATTCACACCAAAGTATTTTATATTATTTGCAACTATTGCGAAGGGTGTCATTTCCCTAATTTCCTTTTCAGTCTGTTTATCTTTCATGTAGAGGAAGGCTACTGATTTGTTTGAGTTGATTTTATAACCAGCTGAAGATTTCTAATTGAGACCAGGAGTAAACTAAGCATTCCAGTTAGTTAGCAAACATGGAATACTGTATATGAGTGTCGCCATCTTTACTTGGGACCATTATGTTCTCAGCTGCAGTTTTCTCACTGGGCATTTGAAAATACCCTTTGAAGGCTCTTCTATTTTGTTTATCAATATTGACGTCCACATCATTTTTCTACAGACTTTTGCCTGCTTTGCTGTTGAGTGTAGAATAAGAAATAAGAAGTCTTCTGCCCAGTGAACAATTTTAAATTTTTATGTTGACTTTTGAGAAAAAATAATGGGTGTGGGGTTATTTATTTTCTCTAGAGGTTTCCATCAGGAGTAGTTGTTTTCAGACTGAGTTGCAGTTTTGGCTTATCTTATTTCAATGTTTAAAAAAAGATCCAAGTTTCATGATCTTCAGATCCAAGTGCCTTTCTCTCAGCATACATGGACCTCAGGATAACTCTTTCTGTGTTTGGGGACAATGAGCAAAAGGCTCTAAATCTTGTTTGAGATGTTGGTTTACTTGAGTTTCACATGTTTTTTCCATTCAAGGCAGGCAACCCCCTCTTCTACATCTATGGAAAACATAGCCTCCGTATACTAATTTTAGGAATAATTTTAGAGTGTTTAAAATAAACTGTGGAATCACAAAGGTTCTTTATTTCTACAGGATAGACATGGTCTATGGCCATGTTATGCTATCCCAAAAACCTTCAACAGCATTGAAATTGACCAGTGACCATTAGAACCATTACTCAAATTTAAGTTTCATTTCTAAGCACACTTGATTGTGAAGTTATGATTTGTTTAACCTAGTCTTTACATCTTATTTTATGAGTAAAGTATTCTAATTAAACATGGAATTCACTGATTTGCCTAGACTGCTATCCAGCAAGTACAAGATGTCATCTGTTTCGAATTGCTCAGAACTAAGGTTACAAGTGTATCACACCA